CAAATCAATGAATCATTTCCCTTTGAGCTAAATTGGCCTTCGGCCCCCTTAAATACATTTTATGTATATTATTAAATGTTGCTGTTGCTACAATCACTTTTCATATACTATGTACTTTCTTTGTATAACAGTTCTAATAATGTTTTAGACAGGACTGTTAAACAGATCATAAATTAATGGAGAATGTGAGCGCTGTGTGCGTTGGGTTCTGGTTTTCTCAGCGCCATCAACATAAAAGTTACAACAACAAGCGTGGCTAACATCACTTCAGAGTTCCTACTGGCAGTGTGAACGCAAACAGGAAAATGTTCCCGAGGGAACCATTAGTTCTCAGGGAACCACCCTGGTGGCTCGTTCCTATAACTGAGTTCCAAGAACACCCGGTGTGAAAGCCCCTATTAACTGCATATATTTTAAAACCCTGCTGATTACTTACAAAGCCCTGAATGGTTTAGCTCACCAGTACTTGAGCGAGCTCTTAACGCATTATAGCCCTTCATGTTTGTTGCAGTCTCAAAAATCTGGTCAGTTGTTATTGCCTAAAATATTAAAATCGACTGAGGGTGGTAGATCCTTTTCCTATTTAATGTTCAATCTCCTGGCATTGTTCAGGAAGCAGACACACTCGGTTTAAACTCAGTCTAAATCTAGACTAAAAACAAAATCCTTCAAATCCATTAAAGGACTATTAGGTGGCATGAATTAGGTCAACTGGAGCGGGGAACACCTCCTATAACACCAGGTGTACTTGTTACATTGTAAAAAGAAAGGCATCATTAGCCTGATCAGAGACACAACCACAGACATCAGTAGCCTGTTAGACAGGACAACAACGCATGATGTAGTGAGCCGGATCCGGGCCGTATCCAGATCAGATGGTGGACCTGCACCAAGACACGACCACAACACATGATGTAGTGAGCCGAATCCGGGCCGTATCCAGATCAGATGGAGGACCCTGAATGTCAGTGAATACCATGAACTCTAGACGAGCCCTAGAGACAGATCCCCTGTGAAGACATGACAGCCATCAGCACAGACGAGTCCTACACAGAACAGAATATACAGTGGGGCCAAAAAGTATTTAGTCAGCCACTGATTGTGCAAGTTTTTCTACTTAGAAAGATGAGAGAGGTCTGTAATTTTCATCATAGGTACACTTTAACTATGAGAGCCAACATGAAAAAAAAAAAAAAAAATCCAGGAAATCACGTTGTAGGATTTTTAAAGAATTTATTTGTAAGTTATGGTGGAAAAGTATTTAGTCAATAACAAAAGTTCAACTCAATACTTTGTAAGATAAAATTTGTTGGCAATGACAGATGTCAAACGTGTCCTGTAAGTGTTCAGCAGGTTTGCACACACTGTAGCTGGTGTTTCGGCCCGTTACTCCATGCAGATCTCCTCTAGAGCACTGATGTTTCGGGGCAGCACGGACTCCACAAATTTTCTGTGGGGTTGAGGTCTGGACACTGGCTAGGCCACTCCAGGACCTTGAAATGCTTTTTACGGAGCCACTCCTTCGTTGTCCAGATGGTGTGTTTGGGAACATTGTCATTCTGGAAGATCCAACCACGTTTCATCTTCAAGGCTCTCACTGATGGAAGGAGGTTTTGGCTTAAAATCTCACGATACATGGCCCCGTTCATTCTTCCCTCAACACAGATCAGTTTTCCTGTCTCCTTTGCAGAAAAACAGCCCCAAAGCATGATGGTTCCTCCCCCATGCTTCACAGTAGATATGGTGTTCTTGGGATGCAACTGTGCATTCTTCTTCCTCCAAACACAACGAGTTGAGTTTTTACCAAAATTTTTTATTTTGGTTTCATCTGACCACATGATATTCTCCCAATCCTCTTCTGGATCATCCATATGCTCTCTGGCAAACTTCAGACGGGCCTGGTGTAGTGTGTTACTGCAGGATTAGAGTCCCTCTCGGTGTAGTGTGTTACTGCAGGATTAGAGTCCCTCTCGGTGTAGTGCGTTACTGCAGGATTAGAGTCCCTCTCGGTGTAGTGTGTTACTGCAGGATTAGAGTCCCTCTCGTTGTAGTGTGTTACTGAAGGATTAGAGTCCCTCTCGGTGTAGTGTGTTACTGCAGGATTAGAGTCCCTCTCGTTGTAGTGCGTTACTGCAGGATTAGAGTCCCTCTCGGTGTAGTGTGTTACTGCAGGATTAGAGTCCCTCTCGGTGTAGTGTGTTACTGCAGGATTAGAGTCCCTCTCGGTGTAGTGTGTTACTGAAGGATTAGAGTCCCTCTCGGTGTAGTGTGTTACTGCAGGATTAGAGTCCCTCTCGTTGTAGTGTGTTACTGAAGGATTAGAGTCCCTCTCGGTGTAGTGTGTCACTGAAGGATTAGAGTCCCTCTCGGTGTAGTGTGTTACTGCAGGATTAGAGTCCCTCTCGGTGTAGTGTGTTACTGAAGGATTAGAGTCCCTCTCGGTGTAGTGTGTCACTGAAGGGTTAGAGTCCCTCTCGGTGTAGTGTGTTACTGCAGGATTAGAGTCCCTCTCGGTGTAGTGTGTTACTGAAGGGTTAGAGTCCCTCTCGGTGTAGTGTGTTACTGAAGGATTAGAGTCCCTCTCGGTGTAGTGTGTTACTGCAGGATTAGAGTCCCTCTCGGTGTAGTGTGTTACTGCAGGATTAGAGTCCCTTTCGGTGTAGTGTGTTACTGCAGGATTAGAGTCCCTCTCGGTGTAGTGTGTTACTGAAGGATTAGAGTCCCTCTCGGTGTAGTGTGTTACTGAAGGGTTAGAGTCCCTCTCGGTGTAGTGTGTTACTGAAGGATTAGAGTCCCTCTCGGTGTAGTGTGTTACTGCAGGATTAGAGTCCCTCTCGGTGTAGTGTGTTACTGCAGGATTAGAGTCCCTTTCGGTGTAGTGTTACTGATGGTAGCCTTCGTTACTTTGGTCCAGCTCTCTGCAGGTCATTCATCAGGGCCCTCCGTGTAGTTCTGGGATTTTTGCTCAAGTTCTCATGATCTTTTGACCCCATGGGATGAGTTCTTGCGTGGAGCCCCAGATCGAGGAAGATTATCAGTGGTCTTGTCTGTCTTCCATTTTCTTACCATTGCTCCCACAGTTGATTTTTTTACACCAAGCTGCTCGCCTATTGTAGATTCACTCTTCCTAGCCTGGTGCAGGTCTACAATTCCTGGTGTCCTTCGACAGCTCTTTGGTCTTAGCCATGGTTGAGTTTGGAGTGTGACTGTTTGAGGCTGTGGACAGGTGTCTTTTATACAGATAACGGGTTCAAACAGGGGCCAATAATACAGGGAACGAGTGGAGGACAGAAGAGCTTCTTAAAGAAGAAGTTACAGGTCTGTGAGAACCAGAAATCTTGCTGGTTTGTGGGTGACCAAATACTTATTTTCCACCAAAATTTACAAATAAATTCTTTAAAAATCCTACAATGTGATTTCCTGGATTTTTTTTTCTCATTTTGTCTCTCATAGTTGAAGTGTACCTATGATGAACATTACAGACCTCTCTCATTATTCTAAGTAGGAGAACTTGCACAATCAGTGGCTGACTAAATACTTTTTGGCCCCACTGTATTTCCAGCTTCAACTCCTCCGTATGTCAGTGTGATGCATCACAATATTCAAGCAGAACGAACTGGATAAAATATGCTGAATGATACTAATATGCAATCTGACTTGATGCAGCCTGGGAACTATATTGTGTCACTGATGGAGTTTGTGTTTGTCGCTGAGGTCTGTGCGGGTCCAGTGTAGTGATGGGGATACTATACTGTCAAAGAGCACCGTCCTTTGGATGAGACGTTAAACCGAGGTCCTGACTCTCTGTGGTCATTACAAATCCCAGGATGTCCTTCGAAAAAGAGTAGGGGTGTAACACCAGAATCCTTGGCCTCTGTCCATCATGGCCTCCTAATCATCCCCATATACTGATTGGCTTCATCACTGTTTCCTCTCCACCAATAATCTGGTGTGTGGTGGGCGTTCAAGCGCACTATGGCTGCCATCACAGTCAGGTGGATGCAGCACATTGGTGGTGGTTGAGGAGATTCCCCCTTCCATGTGAAGCGCTTTGAGTACCCAGAAAAGCGCAATATAAATGTAACAAATTATTATAATTGTTATTCATCTGACTGTCCTGACGCTGATGTTTGAGAACTGAACTGAGCTGATGATGACAACACTGTTATCGCTGGATTGGCTATATAACTGAACTGAACGTTTCATATTTGATGATCTTTACACAGTTATTAAACAAAACTAACTCAACATTGAACTGACCCTAACAATGACACTATTTTCTTTTTAGAGTTGCTTTACAGAAGAATTGAACTCTGTTTGCATCACTGAATCATTCTTCCCCCATTTTCGCTTTAAAGCTGCTTTGAAACTATCTGTATTGTTAAGATTTCTTACCTCACTCTTAAAAATAAACATTCTAGAGGGGAAAGATTATATATAAACGCAATCAGAGCATAAATGTATAATATAAAAGAGAAGCAAATGTACCAGCCTGCAGAGTTGTGCAGTTGGATAAAGTCCATGTCCAACGGTACTGTAGGCTGGAGAGAACGCTGATTAAAAAAGAGAAAACAAGCACCGAACCATTTCCCCCGACAAACAGTTTGCTTGAGGCGAGTAGCGTTTATTTAACATTAAAAACTTAATTCGGCCACTAACTTCTCCGTCTTGATGACGTTGCAATATATGACAGGATATGAGCCACATGCAATTCCTCTGACTTTGTTTCCATTGGCAGTTGCTCTCAAAGTTTCTGCTCATTTCATTTGCATAAATCGGCAACAATTGTCTTCGCCATTTAATGCTTCACATATCCCAATATGCATTGTGTCATGTATACTTCCTGGACAGTGTAACTCAACGATATAAAAACCACAGAAGCTTGACAATTACATGCAAACATACTGACAGATATTTAGTACTTGGCCTGCTAAAGTTAGAAATATTAGTAGTAACAATAGAGTAGTGAGTGAATAGCATCGTAGGCGAGATTAACGTACCAACAGATGTGGGCATCTCGCCCCACTGGAGCACCACGTCTTTAGTGATGCGGCCGTAGGTGTTGACATACACACCCTCGTCTTCATAACACACCAGCAGCTCAATGCCATCCGTGTTCGGCAGGATGATGATGGCGTGCGACTGAATACTCATCTGAATCTACAACAAAACAAAGAGAGAGGAAGATGAAGGCTGGGAAACACGGCTGGAAAACCCGAATCGTCGTCACTATCAATACTGTACATACGTGAGTGGGCAGATAAATGTCATAGACGGCTCCTGAGTCGACATCCACAGCGTGAAACCCAGAGCAGGACCCATAGATGACCTTTAACCTTTGGCCTTCTTCAACTGTGAGGTCAACTAGCAGTGGCTTGTGCACCAGATCACCAAAAGACTACCACAGAAGGAGAGAAACGTCATCATGTTTTTATTGTGAGATTCTTTTTAGATTTTACAACAAATATCAGCATATTTATAACAAGGCCCATTTTCACCAAGGATGATAACTATAACTCTATAATAACTTTATTAGCGTTAACACTATCGCTCAACATCGCTTATTATGAGCGCACTGCGCATACATGCTCAAGCTCTTTAAAGCTCTTTTTCTTCTTGGATTCTGATTGGCTGTCAATGTTTTTAGCGTTCATCAGATGTCAAAAGTGATTCCAACAACATCGTTCCTCTGTGCCGTTATCGTAACAGTTGAACTTTATACACCTCGCCGCCAAGAGACGAGCGAACCGCTTGTACAACGGCACATCACGCTTGACTCGGTCTCATGGACATATTAGGTTCGTCACCTTGAAAGCCATGAATTTATGGTATGGTTTGGGAGCCCACGCATACACCTCTACTGAATTCTTCAGGGCCAGAACCAAGAACTTGATCCTCTCGTACTTCACTGCAGACCAAACAAACAACAGACGTCAGGGCAATACTGTGCAGCGATGAAAGGGATAACCAGATAGAGTAGATGGAACAAAGCAGGACTTTGCTTTAGGGAATGTTTTGGATAGGAACACATACCGACTTTGTAGTGCACACAGCCCTCCAGGTCTCCTACGGTGGTCCAGCCCTGCTTCTTCTCCACCTCAGGGTCATTGTGGAGGATCTTGTTCCTCAGCCACGAGAGATAGTACACACGCAGTTTATTCTTCTTCCCTAGGATTGGAAGCTGGAATCATGACTTATAATAATAATAATAATTCATTACTTTTCTATAGCGCTATTCTAGGTACTCAAAGCGCTTTGCACGTGGAAAGGGGGAATCTCCTCAACCAACACTCACTGAACTTAGCCACATTATTTGACAGATTTAACGCTGTTTATAATACAGACTTATAATAAAACATTTTATTAAGAAAAATATATATGCATTTGCATGATTTTCTCTGTAGAAAAAGTATGATTTTCCCATAAGAATGAATCAAAGAATACTGTCAGGAAATCATGATTTTGCACTGATCTTCAACCAGGGTTTAAATAAACTAAAGCTTCAGGTTAAGAGGATTTCATGAGCTGAGCTGAAACCTTTTCAAATAAAATGGAAAAAAACAAACATTTCCTAAGAAGATTTAGCCAGGTCACAAATGACTTCTATGCACCTTGTACATTTATAAAGATGAATCTGCAGCCAGTCTAAAATAACGAAGCAACTTCAACGTAAAGTACAGGACTTCCTGTGTGTCATGGAATATTTCAACATGTCTAAAACTGTGTTTGCACAGTTTTTTCATGTCTGAGACTTTACCACAAAGACGGACAGAAATAGAGGAAAATTGGGGAACTACATTGTTTATGGGGGTATGCAAGAGAGGATATTACGTAACATTGAAAGCACACGTGCCGTCACATGAACACACGGGAACATCCTCCTACATACAGATCAATACCCAGAGATCCTGCACGAGGCTTCGGTACCTGATATTGTCACTAGAACGTTAAGTCCCTCCAAAACATCCATTTGTTGAAAGCGTCTACGACTAATGAGCGGGTAGACTTTCCCTTGACCACTGCGATCCAGTAGCATGAGTCCGCTCTCTGTCCCGACTAACAGATTAACACCTGTGGGAGACAGAAACAGAGGACACTTCTCTTAAACACTCCAGTGTCGAGTCAAAGCCACTTCCTCTTCTGTAATGGGACCATTTTCTGACACCAAATATTCATAGAAACGAGTTCATTCAGAGGCAGAAGAGGTTATGTTGATAAACGGTTTTCTCTGGGAAAAACATGCACTGATCAGTCATACGCAAGAAGACCAGGAATGTAAATGAATAAAGCAAAAGGGGTCAATTTTACAAAAGTAAACAAAAGCGCTAGTCTCATTGGTCTTTTTAAAAATGACGCTTTTACGCCTGGCATTTTGCACGTCGGCGTGCATACTCACATTGGTGCCCTTAGTTTAGCCCCGAGATGTTAAACGTCGGCGAAAAGCACACGTGATTATCTTCCCGGTGTGCACACGTCTTTAGGCTTCAATTAAATGACTTTTTTTATTGTTATTGTTCATTTATTTGTCAGGGACAATGCAGTGCACATTATTACACACATAATTGTAATAGGCAAGCCATAACAAAATGTGTAAATGTGTTGCATAAAAGGTTTCAAGCCAATAGGCTAATTTGCAACCCCAGTCCCTGGTCAGGCCTTTCTAAAAAAAACATATTCCTAAAACATAACACACATTACACAATCATATATTAAATACATAACCTTTTACACAATCCCGACCACATTACACAAAACATACACATCACATCCAGCACAGTCAAAATCACTCAATGTCCACATATTTGATTTTCTTTCACCTTTCTATTAAATGATTTCAGGTCAGTTTCTGTTTTTATTTCCGTTGGTAAATCATTCCAAAAACGGGTTCCTATCACTGAGAAACTTGACTGGTTTTGTGCCCCTCTGCTATGCAGTTGCCACCCGCTGCTCTCCTAGTGGCAACTCTCCGTGTGTTTATTTTAGTCACAAAAGGACAGAGTACGGCTGGAGCTATATTATTTGTGCATTTAAAAATCATCTTAAGAAAAGAAAACCTAATAAAACTATCAAAATCTAAAAGCTTGTATTTCTGTACAATCAAACAGTGATGCCACCTAGTTGGTTTCTGATCCATAATCTTCAATGCTTGTTTGTATAGTGATATGATGGGTTTAACTTGGCCTCATACAGTAACACAATAAGATAAATGAGAGAGTATCATGGCATGAAAGAACAGCAAAGCTGCTATGGACTGGTGTCGGACTGGTGTCGGACTGGTGTCGGACTGGTGTTTGACTATTGTTGGACTGGTGTCGGACTGGTGTCGGACTGGTGTTTGACTATTGTTGGACTGGTGTCGGACTGGTGTTTGACTATTGTTGGACTGGTGTCGGACTGGTGTCGGACTGGTGTTTGACTATTGTTGGACTGGTGTCGGACTGGTGTTTGACTATTGTTGGACTGGTGTCGGACTGGTGTCGGACTGGTGTTTGACTATTGTTGGACTGGTGTCGGACTGGTGTCGGACTGGTGTTTGACTATTGTTGGACTGGTGTCGGACTGGTGTTTGACTATTGTTGGACTGGTGTCGGACTGGTGTCGGACTGGTGTTTGACTATTGTTGGACTGGTGTCGGACTGGTGTTTGACTATTGTTGGACTGGTGTCGGACTGGTGTCGGACTGGTGTCGGACTGGTGTTGGAGTGGTGTCGGACTGGTGTTTGACTATTGTTGGACTGGTGTCGGACTGGTGTCGGACTGGTGTTTGACTATTGTTGGACTGGTGTCGGACTGGTGTTTGACTATTGTTGGACTGGTGTCGGACTGGTGTTGGAGTGGTGTTTGACTATTGTTGGACTGGTGTCGGATAGGGGTGTAAATATTAATCAATTTGGATCGATGCATCGATTATACAGCCGACGATTCAATGCATCGATGCGTCCGCAAGAGAATCGATTAATGCCTTTATTTTGCCGCCTGTCTATTTTCAGCATCTGCTCCGACATGTGCGTGCAACCTACTGCTAACGTCATTATTGTGATTCACACACGCGTTATAGCCTACGCTTCACCTTCACGGGGTTCACACACACATTGTTGAGTCTGACTTTAAAGAACAATGGAACCGTCACAGCGCGCTGAAACTGAGACCCCATTTACTCCAGGTATTAAAATGCGATCTGTATCCAGATAAGTTATCCGGATAATAAAAAACACATGTTAATGCAATGTGTAAATGCGCTGTGATCGGATCTGGCTGACCACATCTGGAGGTAGTCTGGCTCGCATTGTGTTCGGATCTTTACTAGGTGTAAACGCAATCTGGTTGTTGAAACCACATATGTATATTTTCCTCCTCCCAAAAACGCTAAAAAAATAAACGAGTAAGAGCGTGTTATACAGGCTATATGTCATGTTATAGTCAGATATGACGGCGCTACTGCGACACGCATCACCGCAGATGAGCAGAGCGTCACCAAGCCAACGTGCAAACATCGCAAATAAAAGTGAAAGTAAGTCACAGACGCTTAACACACAATCATCTTCAAGTAAAGAAACGAAATAATCTCTTACCAGCGCTGTTGCTACTCTCTCTTATTGATGTCTTTGATTTTGAAATTAGCTGATGATCAATAAAATTCAGCTCATATCTGTTGCTTTTGGTGGCGTGCAATCCATTAAATCTGCATATAACGCGGGAGTTGAAGATCGGATTTATATAAAACACATTTATGTGTCCAGGTGAAAATAGAATCGGTAAGATCAGAACACTATTATCCGGATAACTGCAGGGTTGATGTATTTGAAATTTAGGCTGGAAAGGTCAGTCTTTGTTTCTTTGTTTGTTTGTTTTAACAGTGAATAGGCTAACTTGCCATTATAGACCTGCACTGTAAGCATTAGACTTAATTATTTTTATCTTGTTCTAATTACAGTTTATCTGATGGCACTTTATTGTAACTGCAGATGCAGTAACTGTTACATTTGCTGTTCTGTTTGCAGTACTTTGAGCACAACATGCACACTGTCAATAGAATACTGTTTCTGTATTATCAATAAAAGGCAAAATATACATTTTTTGTTGATTTATTTGAAACTTAATAGATATCATGTAAAAATATCGAGTATTAATCGTATCGAATCGAATCGCGGGGAATTTTGAAGTATCGAAAATAATCGAATCGTTGGCTTAAGAAATCGGTATCGTATCGGAGTGGTGTTGGAGTGGTGATTGACTGGTGTTTGACTATTGTTGGACTGGTGTTTGACTGGTGTTTGACTATTGTTGGACTGGTGATGGACTGGTGGTGGACTAGTGGTGGACTGGTGTCTGACTGGTGTTGGAGTGGTGGTGGACTGGTGGTGGACTGGTGTCTGACTGGTGTCGGAGTGGTGTTGGAGTGGTATTGGAGTGGTGTTGGACTGGTGTCGGAGTGATGTTGGAGTGTTGTTGGACTGGTGTCGGACTGGTGTTGGACTGGTGGTGGACTGGTGGTGGACTGGTGTCTGACTGGTGTCGGAGTGGTGTTGGAGTGGTATTGGAGTGGTGTTGGAGTGGTGTCGGACTGATGTTGGAGTGTTGTTGGACTGGTGTCGGACTGGTGTTGGACTGGTGTTGGACTGGTGTCGGACTGGTGTCGGACTGGTGTTGAACTGGGTTAGAGCGGGACTCACCCCACAGAGCAGCGCACAAGATCTCAGAGTTGAACCTCTTCTTGTATTTGCGTATTTCTGGCGTGTCGTTCTGTGGCCGAGTGTTGACAGGATTGACGTTGACCACCGAACCCTTACGGGACGCGTCCTGACGCAGAGCCTCCTGCAGTCGAGCATCATTACTGTAACCTGAGGAACATCATAATGTTTGGGCAAATCAACTCACATTTATCTGGGTAGCACTTTCACACACACAGCTTTACAGAAAACCATGGTCTTTTATAAAATATAAACATCTTCATGACTCAATCGTATTTATCAAATTAGAGCTGGATGATAATATAGCTACTTTGCAGCTATACAACTGATCAAGCAGTTGAGATGCGCTCTATGGTATATATTGCTTTATGTGAGTGTACTGTAAGTATATGGATAAATATATATTTCTCACAACAACATTTAAGAGAATATTGTTGCATCAAGTTATTCTGACATTATTTTCATGACAATTAGGTAAGATTTACACCCAAATTCTGATTAATGTAATGCACTTTCATTTTTTCACTTATATTTCCCATTATTGACAATAAATTAAGTCAATAAATTAACTACAGTACAACAAATAGTAGTCTGCTGTACTACAAATACTTTGAACAAAAAAAAGGTCAACAGAATTGAGAATGAGATTTTAAAAATGAGCTTTTTGGAAATGAAAATTTAAAGCAGCATTATGCAGTTTTTTTACCTGAACTGAATAGCTTCGGAGTTATTGCAATGGTTATATGACTATTTTTGGGTTGAATGTTGGGCGTCACGCCCCCGTTGCCCGTGAGCGGAAAAAACACACTTGCAAGTTTGAGCTGGCGGGCCACCGGTCTCGATATCAGGTCTCGCGATGTAACGAATTGCTTTACGGCAAGAAAGATCTGCTAAAATAAACAAACATCAAGCCGTATACATGCGGTGTTCAACAGGGCGCAGCTCTTAAAGGGGTCACACCTTATTTCCACTCGTTACAGCTTCCATCCGGTACCGGTATACAGGGGGAGGGGATCAGGCCGTTTACGACAGTACAAGTACTCCACAGCGACTCTAGGGGTCACAGTTTGACAAAAACGGAAATCCTGCATAGTGCTGCTTTAAAGGGGAAAGTGTTGAATCGTTCCAAAATCATTTCTTCCTTTGTCCAAAAAAAGAGGCTCAATTGCTTTAAGCATTATTTTCTTTTAATATGTTTTTTTTTATTTCAGCACTTTCCAAGATCTGTCAGAAAGGTAAAACGATTGATTATTAAAGTATCATAATTATGCGTTAGATGCAGAGAATTATGTTGATTACCACACAAATCTTTTGTAACTCATCCCTAGTGTTCTCCCAGAGCAGTAGAAACGCCCCGTCGGCACACACACACACACACACACACACTCACCAGCGTTATTGAGCGCGCTGCCGGTGGACGGAGACACCTGGAGGAGGCGCGGGTCGATGAAGGGAGTGAACGAGGAGGAAGACTTGTGCTTCGGCACAGTGGGAGTCTGTGAGACGACCGGCAGCAAACATTTAGAAAACACTTCAGTAAATGTAGGAAAAACTCAACTAGAACTAAACACACAAATGATAAAATATGAATGACTTGATGGTGGTTGGTGGAAAAAAATATGAATAGACTGATGGAAACAATGATCCCTGTAAGTCTTAGAATGAGAAAGAAGGAACAACAGGGGAGAAAATGTACGCAATGCAAGCTGAAGGAGAAACACCTCTGACAAAAGCATTTCTCTTTTCTTGGTTGCTGGGGTTCAGTTACGTCTGATTTCCTGCTGCAATCGTTCTGACGCACAACAGCGAAGAAGAATTTCTTCTCATCGCACAAGCACACATAGCTCATATTTTGTGATGTCGTTTTATTAGAAAAAATTGATTTGTTCAGCCTGTGCAGATCCGTTCAGTTTGCCAGAAATGGTCTTGACGACACGTAAACTGCTGTCTTCGAAAGATCGGGAAATACTGGTGCAAAAATCTGAATCCAATTGGCCAGTTTTTAAAATCAATAATATAAAGAAAACTCACAATTAAATGTTAAATAGTGCTGAACTTTATTAGAAAATAATCAATAACGATTTAACCATGACAATGCTTTGTAATTAAATACACTAATAAAATTAGCTATGCTTCATCACCACTGACACACAAAAGTACTGCTTTTATTCATTTCATTTTGTTGTCATACATATTATATACATAAATTCAAACAAGTGAATTAAAGGGATCGTTTACCCAAAAACGAAAATTAGCCCATGATTTGCTAACCCTGAAGTCATCCTAGGTGTATGACATTCTTCTTTCAGATGAATACAGTCAGAGTTTTATTAACCCTCTGGGGTCCTTGAGAGGTTCTGACATGCCCTGGCATTTGTGCTTTTTTAAGTTGCTTATAAACATATTAATGGCACAGGTGAAATTACACTATATTTAGCACAAACAGGGCTACCATAGTATGTGAGCAACGTGTATGTACATGTTTGTATTTTTGAGAGAATATTGTTTATGCGTGGTTATTGAAAAAAACTAAAAATGAAAGTTTCTGAAATAAGGCCACAAAACACATACTAAATATGCGTCCACTTTTGACTAATGGATGTTGTCACCTAGAGTTTTTTCTTCAAAATGATCTGAAAATCATCCTGCCTAATCACTGTGAATGGCCCAACCCCTCATGAATAATTAAGTGGTTCTCACCTGAGAAGACAAAGGCCCGCATAATGAGCCTTTCATTCATTCAAGAAAGAATGCAAGGACAATATATATATATATATATATATATATATATATATATATATATATATATATTAGGGGTGGAGCCGAACCCAAATACGGTATTCGGAAAGGCACAAATAACGTGTTTTTTACGAATACTTATTTCGAACAAATACTTTAAAAAATATTTGTATTCGGGAACAAGAAAAACGTGACGTTCAGGAAGAGGTGACTGACAGACTGCTCCACTCAGCAAACAGAGAGGGCTCGGCTGAGCCAAAAAACACTGAACTGCATCACTATTTTCATTGAATAGATGTTTGTACCTTAACTGGGTTCCGGAGGCAGTTTATAACTTTCGGGAAATGGAGTTTGATCGGGAGTTTATTCCATAACGCTGCATTATTGACGTCTGCTGCTCTCATTTTCGCTCTGTTTACGCAGCTCTGTTAGCTCAGTAACGGTAATTATTTGCTTTTATTACATGGCTTGGTTGAATTCTAATGTAGAATGCAGTTTTTTTCTTAATAAACAGACCGCTGCTAATTATAACATGTTGCCTTGGATTCTAAACGTAGAGACGGAACGGAATATTTTTTAGCGGAAGCAATACAATTGTTTTTAAATCAATAAACTCCTTTTTAAATCAATATTTTGAGTCAAATTATTGATTTATTTGGTAGGTAGCCATGTAATAAGCAGGATAATGTATAGCGAGGGGGTTGTTATAGCGAATACAACCCCTTCAGATTCAGGCTGATTCAAGACCCCTCTGCTTCGCGTTGGCTCGTAATCATCCGCCTCGCTATACATTATCCCTAACCTATTCTGTGTGTTCAGCGTCCTCCAACAAGGACAGGTGGTGCTGGGGTTCATAATGTTCACAATTGTATTTTATTAGTTGTTGGTTTAATCATGGATGAGGTAATGGCTGTTATGTTTTTCTGTTTGTTGTTGTTGTTTTTTTAATGACGTTCATTGCTGGATTATAGAAAAACATCAACCAATATTGCATATCCATAATTATTATAATGGATATAATTAAAGAATCCTTACACTATAACGTAAATTTGAAGTGTAACCATAAGTGTAATATAAGATAAACAGTCTCGTTATCATTATGAACTTGTTGAACATTCAATACACATGCATGAAGTTCAAAATAAGAAGGGTATAGCCTTATAAAAAAAACGTGAATATCGCGGTTGCTGCGGTTACTTGCAATCCCCTGCGGTTGACTTGTCAGAAGCGCGGTACTACAATATTGCGGTTATCGCGACAGCCCTAACATGAACCACTGAGCCACTGCCGCCACCGAGGTAAAGTACAAGATTCTTATTAAACTGGATGTTTTATCCAGCTGCTTGCCTCAACATTTGCGTTTGAATAGCACACGCTCTCAGTGGGCGTGGTCACATTAACACGTAATACCCTATAATTAGCTGAAAGGTAAAAGACTGACATCTCTCTCTCCTTTCATAGAGATTACATCAACTGATAATTTATGTTTTTATATAAATCACTTTATTTAAAAGAAAAGAATTTCAGCTTCATAAAGAAAAAGCTTTTGTGCCTGTGTCACAAGTATTCACTGAGTTACAGTTAATTTTTGGACACGTTTCAGAATGAACTTCACTGACAGAGAGAAGGAATCATGTTTATTTTTCTTTTTTTTTTAAATGGGAGTATTTCTACATAATAGAGTTTGTTGCACAGAACTCTTTGGTTAAACCAGGAGACTTGTGTAGTATGCGTACGGTTGCAGAAGCTAGTTATTTTAGATGATAAAGGTATAAATATGGGTATTTGTCTTATTAAAACCCATGGCTTCACTTCAAAAGGCTTTTATTACCCCCCAGAGCCGTTTGGAGTATTTTTATTATGGATGGATGCCATTTTTTGGCCTTTAAATTTTCTTTAGCCATTCACTCCCATTATAAAGCTTGGAAGACCTAGGACATTTTTTTATAACTCCTATTGTATTTGTCTGAAAGAATAATGTCATATACACCTAGGATGACTTGAAGGTGAGGAAATCATGGGCTAATTTTTGGGTGAACTATCCCTTTAAGACAAAAGTTTTCATCCTGAACTTTCATCTTGTAAATAAAACATGCAGTTCTCCAATAACCACATTTAGAATTTCTGATTTTAAAAGGTGTTGACACTATGTAATGATAAATCATACTTCATACATGTTTTATGAACATGAGCGAGTCAAGAGTCACTGACACAAGCGATTCAAGAGTCACTGACGCCGGCTTCACTGGACACAAGTGATTCAAACTGGACACGAGTGATTCAAGAGTCACTGACACCGGCTTCACTGACACGAGCGATTCAAGAGTCACTGACGCCGGCTTCACTGGACACAAGTGATTCAAACTGGACACGAGTGATTCAAGAGTCACTGACGCCGGCTTCACTGGACACAAGTGATTCAAACTGGACACGAGCAAGTCAAGAGTCTCTGAACACAAGCAAGTCAAGAGTCACTGACGACGGCTTCATTGGACACGAGCGAGTCAAGAGTCACTGATGCTGGCTTCATTGGACACAAGCGAGTCAAGAGTCACTGATGCTGGCTTCACTGGACACAAGTGATTCAAACTGGACACGAGCGAGTCAAGAGTCACTGACGCCGGCTTCACTGGACAAGTGATTCAAACTGGACACGAGAGAGTCGAGTCTCTGAACACAAGCAAGTCAAGAGTCACTGACGCCGGCTTCACTGGACACGAGCGATTCAAGAGTCACTGAAGCCGGCTTCACTGGACAAAAGTGATTCAAACTGGACACGAGCGAGGCAAGAGTCACTGACGCCGGCTTCATTGGACACAAGTGATTCAAACTGGACACAAGCGAGTCAAGAGTCACTGACGCCGGCTTCACTGGACACAAGCGATTCAAGAGTCACTGGACACGGACAGCAGACTGATGACCAGCACTACTGACACTGAGGACGAGCTGCTCCTCAAGCCCTTTTCAGACTGTGTTTGCGTTTCTGTACAGACATCAGAAGGATCCCAGCATCAGGAAAGCGCTGATGGGATATTTTAAACAACGTTCTGGATTGCGTCGGACGATTACATGTTTGTTCGGAGCATTTGACTGCAGATTTCTGCAGATAATCAAACCTTCCCATTTTTCATTAAGATGTTACAACTACTGCTAGACATGTCCGTCAGTCACATGACCCCACGTGCACGCGTTGGCTGTCAGTTAAACCATATTAACCGGTTAATGATGTTGGTTAATCAGTTGAAAGAGTTTGCCAGAAGAATTAGTATCATAAAAGGTAGAGTGAATAATAGAGAGCTAAAACCTTCCACCATCAGAGAGAGCAGTTGTACCTCTGTCAGGCACAGGAGTCTGTCCGAGGAACTGATGGGGGACAGGGCGGGGCTGTTGGGAGAGGAGGCGGAGCCAGGGGATGAGGAGGCGGAGCCAGGGGGCGAGCGATGACTCTGCTGGAGCAGGTCGGGCAGGAGAGGGTTTGCCCCCCTAAAGCAGTTCCTCTGCACAATCTCTACAGGACTGGGACAACAAGCCTCTTTCCAACCTGAACCCAGCAGTGTCACAGGCCCTGATCTCTGGAACTGAGAAAGGCAAACCTCACGCCATCAGCACTCTTTTTACATCTCTTTGCCCTTCATTTGCATAGCTGTGTTTCTGGGCTAAACTTGCAATTTGAGGCAAAAAAAAAAGCTGAAGGTGAAAAAAATTCAAACACAATCTTCACATAAAGAAATAAAAAACATGCATAATTAACATAAAACAAGGACTATGATGAATAAAGGAGCAGTGACAATGGACATAAACAAAGAAAAACAAGTGTCCAACATTTGTGTATTTGTTTACTGTGTGTGACCACTATTACAGTTTAGAATTATAGAATCCATCTACACTCATTATCAGTTATCAGACGGTGAGTGAGTGTGTAAGAGAGAAAGTGTGTGTGTGTGTGTGTGTGTGTGTGTGAGAGAGAGTAAGTGTGTGAGTGTGTTTGAGAGAGAGAGTGTAGCTGTGTCCCAATGTGAAGGCTGCATCCTCCGAAGTCCGTATTTGAAGGCCGATTGCGTCACAGCCGCGCGACGAAGGACGTCCCAATTCAAAGGCTGCATCCGCGAAGGCCGCATTTAAAGGCCGATTGCGTCATCGCGGTGGGATGAAGGCTGTCCCAATTCAGTTATGCATCCTCCGAAGGCCGTATTCGAAGGCCGGTTGCGTCATTGCAGCGTGACGAATGCTTACCTGATTCAAAAGCGACGCCAAATGCACCCTTTGTTTCCCCGTGAAAGGAAGGATACATAAATGGACACTTCGCGGACTATCCTACCCGATCCTACCCCATAAATCATTGCGAGGGTGACGACAGCATTTTTATTTAAAAAAAGGGTGGCCGAGAGTTCGGTGGTGGACGGCAAATTCACATTTAAATGTAAAAGTATTATGTTTTCATTTACTCAGATAGCCAGAGAAACCAGTGTTAACAGCCAAAAGTTTTTTCCCTATTCATCTTAACTCATTCGTCAGCACTGCATGGTTTTGTCAAGTGGAAATGCGAAAACGGCTTTATAGCGTATTGTATTTCTTGTACATTGTATTTCTTTATTATTCATTATTTCATTATTTTATGCAACTTTAAATGTGTACACAAAAGAGAATTCATGGCTCTGGATATTTGTTTATTTTTGTAAGGGTCTCTGAGTGTTTGCAAGGTTGATACATTTAAATTATAATATACTTTTGTGTCGTTTAATGTAAAATGTGTAGTGTTGTCCTGTGAGGGAAAAAGTAGGCTACTTCACATTTGTACATGAATACTATCGCAGTATGAAGTTCCTTACATTCTCCCACTGGTTATTTTAAAAATTAAAGTAACAAAATGTTGGCCCATTGTCACAATATTAACAAATTGTTACTAACTACAACTGGGTCCCATATCAAAGTGCGCACCTGAAGCGCTCGGACCGGTCTAGCCTGCGGAGGATTGTTCTTGTCGCCTAGCAACTGTGACTGACAGCTGACGACGACGAGCGGGAGTAATGACGTTTGCACTGGACTTTTAATATCCATCTGCTTTGAAATATTCAAATAGGATTGACAGCCTGTATACATATATTCACCATGGTCCATTTAGACAATAAAAAGAAAACCCTACAAAATCGCATCAAGGTACGATTAACATTTTAATATAGGCTATATATATATATGTTTTATCATTATTATTATTTTTTAGGCTATTTCATTACAATATTTACGTAGGTTAACACCCAATATTTGAACAGTTTACAGTGTAATATGGCTATTCTGGCCAGCTCTTGAGCCGAAAATACATGAAACGAAATTTTTTTTAGTGGTTATGTGAATCGAAATTATGTGATTTTATATATATTGCCCCTCATTTAAAGATAGGAAAATATAGAACATAAAATTTCCAGTAAAATATAAAACAACAAAATGACAATAGCCAATTCTATCTCCATAGCTGTTTACTCAGTTTCATTAAATGAATGATCAGGGTGGCAGCTGTACTCTCGCTCTGTTACTTGGTGCCAGGAGCAGTAATAGGGAACACCTGGTTGCGCAATTAGGACATCCCACGAAGGCTATATGATGTGTCCTTCGAAGGCCGAATAGGCTGCATCCTTCGAAGTCTACAGCCTTCACATTGGGACACAGCTCTTGTGTGTGTGTGTGCGCGTGTGTGACTGAGTGTGTGTCACCTGTCTCATGACGAGTGTGCTGTCTTTGCATGGCGTAGAGGAGGCATCATCGTCCTGCACGACCATCGTCTTCGCTGCTTCTGCCTCACCATTACTGAGTCTAGACGAGCTGTCAATCAAACAACCATTGTGTCTAGATGAACATTAGAACAGCACATGAAAGTGAACAACACAGATTAAATCAAAACAGGCATTCTCTCATCACACGAGTGGTGTTTCCTGAGATAAATGTTGCTTTTTCCATGTCTAATAGAATCTCTGCTGACCAATCAGATGCGAGTGCAGTTCTGTTGAAGCTCACCCTCCTCCCCGCGAGTCCTCCGGGCCAGACGTCGACTCGTCCCCGATGTCCTGGTCCACCTCCTCATCATCTTCATCATCAGTGGTGCCGGAGTCGTCGCTGGAGGAAGAGTAATCCGTGGCTTTGTGTTGAGGCCGCACGTCCTCCACCGCACGCAGTTCCTTCGCCAGAGCCGTCAGATCCTGCGAACACACATGTGACCAGTGATGTCATATCAGATCCTGCAAACACACATGTGACCAGTGATGTCATATCAGATCCTGCAAACACACATGTGACCAGTGATGTCATATCAGATCCTGCAAACACACACGTGACCAGTGATGTCATATCAGATCCTGCAGACACACATGTGACCAGTGATGTCATATCAGATCCTGCAGACACACATGTGACCAGTGATGTCATATCAGATCCTGCAGACACACATGTGACCAGTGATGTCATATCAGATCCTGCAGACACACATGTGACCAGTGATGTCATATCAGATCCTGCAGACACACATGTGACCAGTGATGTCATATCAGATCCTGCAGACACACATGTGACCAGTGATGTCATATCAGATCCTGCAGACACACATGTGACCAGTGATGTCATATCAGATCCTGCAGACACACATGTGACCAGTGATGTCATATCAGATCCTGCAGACACACATGTGACCAGTGATGTCATATCAGATCCTGCAGACACACATGTGACCAGTGATGTCATATCAGATCCTGCAGACACACATGTGACCAGTGATGTCATATCAGATCCTGCAAACACACATGTGACCAGTGATGTCATATCAGATCCTGCAGACACACATGTGACCAGTGATGTCATATCAGATCCTGCAGACACACATGTGACCAGTGATGTCATATCAGATCCTGCAGACACACATGTGACCAGTGATGTCATATCAGATCCTGCAGACACACATGTGACCAGTGATGTCATATCAGATCCTGCAAACACACATGTGACCAGTGATGTCATATCAGGACCAGAACAGCTTCATCTCCTCAGCATCCCAGATAGCTTAGAAGAACTCGATATTGAGGAAATATTTCACTTATTCTTAAAAAGGATAAACCACCTGACGTATGTAGCTCTTATAGGCCTATTAGTTTAATTGGAGTTGATGCTAAGATACTCTCTAAATTACTGGCCAGAAGACTCGAGACGGTTCTCTCCAACCTAATAAAACCTGATCAGACTGGCTTTATTCTGTTACAAATATAAGAAGGCTCCTGAATGTAATACAATCTACAAACCAACCCGTCTCCCTGGATGCAGAGAAGGCTTTTGACAGGGTGGAGTGTGGGTATTTACGGAGACGGTGACTTTCTGAAGTGGATTCAGAGCATCTACCATTCCCCTACGTCCTGTGTTCTTACTAATGGTTTACGGTCAGATCCCGGAGACAGGGTTGCCCGCTGAGTCCGCTCTTGTTGCGCTGGCTCTGGAAACTCTAGCGGAGCCTGTCAGACAGCATAGAGGTATAACGGGTATTTCTATGATGGGTGTAGAGCACAAAATATTCTGTTGTTTTTATCATCTCCCGAATTGTCTATACCAACAATGCTGTCTTTATTTGACGAGTAAATCAATATTCTTCCTCGATTACTGTACCCTATGGTTGAGCAGGAAAGTCTCTGCAGAGCTGGAAAGTGCATGGAATGGCAGGAAGCCTAGGCAAAAGATTAAATCTTTACAGTTGCCAGTAGAGCTGGGTGGTTTTAATATTCTATATTATAAGTGGGCTTGCCATGCCAGACTCATTTTGGTCCTACTGTGATCTGTGTCCTAGTGTGGATTCATGGGCTTGTTCCCCATTCTCTATTTGGAGCCTGTTTGCTTGCCCTTACAAGCATGTGGATATAGTGAGGAAAAATCCGATACTTTACAATCCGGTTAAAGTTTGGCGTCAGATCTTTGGGAAAGGTGAAACTGTGTTTGTCCGGGGCCAAGCCTTGTCTATCTTTAAAACATGGCACATAAAGGGAATCCGTGTAATAGGGGACTTGTTCCAGGATGGCTCCCTAATGTCCATCTAACAATTGCAACAGAAGTATGATCTCCCAAAGCAACACCACTTTGGTTATTTACAAATTCAACATTATGTTTTTTCAAAGCAAAAATATGCGCTGGATTCGCCCGCTCTTAGCAATTTGGAGGGTTTCCCCTTCAACATAACTAATGCTGCTCACTTTTTGTCTAGGTCTTATTCTTTTATATACTCTCATACCTCTGGACTTTTGAATACAATTGCTCACAAATGGGAGAAAGACCTATGCAATGAACATACAGATGATGACTGGCAGGAGGCCATTAAATGTGTGATGGATCATACTACATCTGCCCTGCGTTTTAAGTGCCACACAGAGTTGGGGACATACTTTCACTGTTTTTGGAGCTGCGAGTATATCTCTAGATTTTGGAGCTTCATTGCTTGCGAAATTAATACCATTCTTCAGATAAAATAGAAAAAAGATCCTGTTCTTTTTCTCCTGGGGCTTCCTTCCAAGAGGCAGGACACTTAGGATACACATACTGTTAGATAAACTACTACTTGTGGCAAGGAAATGCATCCTTATTAGACGGATCAATGATACTCTGTGGTATAGAGAGATCTTTGCAGTTTTGCCCCATGAGAGACTGCATGTGAGAAAAATAGTCATGTGTGCCAATTAGGGCTCTCTGGGGTGTGGGTCCCTCCTTCTGGAGGTCAGCATTGCAACTTACAATATACTCACAGCAAAGCTCTTTTTGTTCTGTATTTAGGGGTAAAAAGAAGAATTCCAGTGCAGTGTGGGTTAGGGTTAGCGAACATCCTGACACCGTTCACGATGTTGAGAGTAAGGTTTTGATGAAAATGTAAAAATGTGCTGTGTGCTTTCCTCTCAATAACAACAAACACAACAAAAAGAATTAAAAAAACAGCGGTTCAGAAAACATCTGATTGTTGTAATGTGGATATTTTTGCACCACCTCTGAAATGAATCGCCCCAGTCACATCAGTTAGGTCTTGTAACCGCTAAGAGCTGAGGGCTACGCAGAGGGTTGAAGAAGGCTAGTTGACATGCTTACTTGACGCGCTTACCGTAGTCGCTTAGATCAATTCAGAAATAATGTAACAGGAGTTCAAGTTCTGTGTTCTTCTCTGTCAAGAGAGATATCATTTATGAAGGTCTTCCTTATCCATAACAGAACAATATTCCATCTTCATCGACACACAATATTAAACATACAGTCGCAGCCTCTGTGACGTTCAAAAACTAGTTGGCTTTTTCCTCTCTGGCATCATCTCTGTCTGATTACACCTATCCTCCTCAGTAAAAGAGACCCAATAACTATGCCATGACCATAGCACCACCTAATGTCCAAACCTGGACATTGAAATGGCACTCACAGGCCTCTTTATACAACAGATCGCTTTACAGCTTTACAGTATTAAACATGAAAAACAGTGACTATGTCTTTCAGTGAGAATTACAGCTTCAGTTTCTGCTATAAAGCGTCTCTCAGTGAGATGAACCGGAAAAGATTTACACCCCAAAGAAGTCCTTCACACACCTGTTTCATCATCATCACTGACCAATGGCAGTTTACCAGCCGGAGCAAACTTTTCCTGAATTTGGCAAGCTGCTTCGAACTTACAAGTCACACCAGATTGTTCTTCGATTTCACTTGAAGTATATCGGGCCTTACGTCACAAATGCTGAAACTGAACTTCAGTAACACAGAACCCGTAATATAACCGTAAGTCTTAATCATAAACTGAAAAAAAGATTCATTGAAAACCATTTAAATGTTAAATTTTCCAGATAAAATCACTAGAGATCACATCTTAATGAGAAAAAAGGTCGAGTTACCTGTGGGTCAGCGGACCGATGGCTCGGTTCGGACACACTGCCGTTGGAGAAGGCTTCTGATCGAGGCGGTACAGCAGGTGGCTGCTTCGGCATCACCACGGCCTGAGGAGAACCCTGAACATTCCTCCTGTGCCGCTCGTCCGCCTGCAACACAACAGCTGTCAGAGTCAAACAAACAAACCTTAAACCACAAACAGGCTGTCAGATTCAGGTCCAACAAACCTTTAGAGTCAAAACAAATCTTCAGAGTCAAACAAACCTTCAGAGTCCAACAAACCTTTAGAGTCAAAACAAACCTTCAGTCAAACAAACCTTCAGAGTCAAACCTTTAGAGTCAAACAAACCTTCAGTCAAACAAACCTTCAGAGTCAAACCTTTAGAGTCAAACAAACCTTCAGTCAAACAAACCTTCAGAGTCAAACAAACCTTCAGTCAAACAAACCTTTAGAGTCAAACAAACCTTCAGAGTCAAACAAACCTTCAGAGTCAAACAAACCTTCAGTCAAACAAACCTTAGAGTCAAACAAATCTTCAGAGTCAAAACAAACCTTCAGAGACAAACCTTTAGAGTCAAACAAACCTTCAGTCAAACAAACCTTCAGAGTCAAACCTTTAGAGTCAAACAAACCTTCAGTCAAACAAACCTTCAGAGTCAAACAAACCTTCAGTCAAACAAACCTTTAGAGTCAAACAATCCTTCAGAGTCAAACAAACCTTTAGAGTCAAACAAACCTTCAGTCAAACAAACCTTTAGAGTCAAACAAATCTTCAGAGTCAAAACAACCCTTCAGAGTCAAACCTTTAGAGTCAAACAAACCTTCAAACAAACCTTCAGAGTCAAACAAACCTTCAGTCAAACAAACCTTTAGAGTCAAACAAACCTTCAGAGTCAAACAAACCTTCAGAGTCAAACAAACATTTAGAGTCAAACAAACCTTCAGAGTCAAACAAACCTTCAAACAAACCTTCAGAGTCAAACAAACCTTCAGTCAAACAAACCTTTAGAGTCAAACAAACCTTCAGAGTCAAACAAACCTTCAGAGTCAAACAAACATTTAGAGTCAAACAAACCTTCAGAGTCAAAGTCAAACAAACATTTAGAGTCAAACAAACCTTCAGAGTCAAACAAACCTTCAGAGTCAAACAAACCTTCAGAGTCAAACAAACATTTAGAGTCAAACAAACCTTCAGAGTCAAACAAACCTTCAGAGTCAAACAAACCTTTAGAGTCAAACAAACCTTTAGAGTCAAACAAATCTTCAGAGTCAAAACAAACCTTCAGAGTCAAACCTTTAGAGTCAAACAAACCTTCAGTCAAACAAACCTTTAGAGTCAAACAAACCTTCAGAGTCAAACAAACCTTCAGTCAAACAAACCTTCAGTCAAACAAACCTTCAGAGTCAAACAAACCTTCAGAGTCAAACAAACCTTCAGTCAAACAAACCTTCAGTCAAACAAACCTTCAGAGTCAAACAAACCTTCAGTCAAACAAACCTTCAGAGTCAAACAAACCTTCAGTCAAACAAACCTTCAGTCAAACAAACCTTCAGAGTCAAACAAACCTTCAGAGTCAAACAAACCTTCAGAGTCAAACAAACATTCAGAGTCAAACAAACCTTCAGAGTCAAACAAACATTTAGAGTCAAACAAACCTTCAGAGTCAAACAAACCTTTAGAGTCAAACATACCTTCAGTCAAACAAACCTTCAGTCAAACAAACCTTCAGTCAAACAAACCTTCAGTCAAACAAGCCTTCAGTCAAACAAACCTTCAGTCAAACAAACCTTCAGAGTCAAACAAACCTTCAGTCACACAAACCTTCAGAGACAAACAAACCTTTAGAGTCAAACAAACCTTCAGAGTCAAACAAACCTTCAGAGTCAAACAAACCTTCAGTCAAACAAACCTTCAGAGTCAAACAAACCTTCAGTCAAACAAACCTTCAGTCAAACAAACCTTCAGTCAAACAAACCTTCAGAGTCAAACAAACCTTCAGAGTCAAACAAACCTTCAGTCAAACAAACCTTCAGTCAAACAAACCTTCAGAGTCAAACAAACCTTCAGAGTCAAACAAACCTTCAGTCAAACAAACCTTCAGTCAAGCAAACCTTCAGAGTCAAACAAACCTTCAGAGTCAAACAAACCTTCAGTCAAACAAACCTTCAGAGACAAACAAACCTTCAGTCAAACAAACCTTTAGAGTCAAACAAACCTTCAGTCAAACAAACCTTCAGAGTCAAACAAACCTTCAGAGTCGAGTCAAACAAACATTCAGTCAAACAAACCTTCAGTCAAACAAACCTTCAGAGTCAAACAAACCTTCAGTCAAACAAACCTTCAGAGTCAAACAAACCTTCAGTCAAACAAACCTTCAGAGACAAACAAACCTTCAGTCAAACAAACCTTTAGAGTCAAACAAACCTTCAGAGTCAAACAAACCTTCAGAGTCAAACAAACCTTCAGAGTCAAACAAACCTTCAGTCAAACAAACCTTCAGAGTCAAACAAACCTTCAGTCAAACAAACCTTCAGTCAAACAAACATTCAGAGTCAAACAAACCTTCAGTCAAACAAACCATCAGAGTCAAACAAACCTTCAGAGTCAAACAAACCTTCAGAGTCAAACAAAAACAAACCTTCAGTCAAACAAACCATCAGTCAAACAAACCTTCAGAGTCAAACAAACTCACCAGTGGGATTCACTCACCAGTGCTGGTGTGTTTGAGTGTATACGTGAGGGATTCACTCACCAGTAGCATGGCCTGCTCATGTAACAGCTGCTGCTGCAGGATCTCCAGGTGCCTTTGCTCTTCCTCCAGCTGCCGGCGGATGTACTCCTGACACACACACACATTACAGTCAGATGTGCTCCTGATACACACACACACACACACACACACACACACACACACACACACACACACACACACACACACAACAAAACACAACACACACACGTTACAGTCAGATGTGCTCCTGACAAACACACACACACACACACACACACACACACACACACACAACACAACCAACACACGTTAGAGTCACATGTGCTCCTGACAAACACACACACACACCAGCCAAACGTACACCAGCAGTTAGGCTGATGGATATCACGGAGTGTGGGGAAAGGTGTAGCTGTGAGTTCATGCTCTGTGTCCAAGTAATCACACACCTGACTGATGGAGTCCAGTCATTTTGCATGAACAGACTAGATTCTGTAGCCCATCTACACATTTTTATTTACATAAGTTTGCCCAAATAACCACATTTTTGGAATTATTAAGAGAACCTAAAAGTCTTTTACTGCAAACGACTTCAGTCCTGCTATGATTTACTTTAGTTTACAGTGATACATCTATGGCTCTAGACCTGTCATGTAGCCCTAGGTTAAGGTGAGGGTTAGCCCTAGGTTAGGGTGAGAATTAGCCCTAGGTTAAGGTGAGGGTTAGCCCTAGGTTAAGGTGAGTGTTAGCGCTAGGTTAGGGTGAGGGTTAGCCCTAGGTTAAGGTGAGGGTTAGCCCTAGGTTAAGGTGAGTGTTAGCGCTAGGTTAGGGTGAGGGTTAGCCCTAGGTTAAGGTGAGGGTTAGCCCTAGGTTAAGGTGAGGGTTAGCGCTAGTTTAGGGTGAGGGTTAGCCCTAGGTTAAGGTGAGGGTTAGCCCTAGGTTAAGGTGAGTGTTAGCGCTAGGTTAGGGTGAGTGTTAGCCCTAGGTTAAGGTGAGGGTTAGCCCTAGGTTAAGGTGAGGGTTAGCCCTAGGTTAAGGTGAGGGTTAGCCCTAGGTTAAGGTGAGTGTTAGCGCTAGTTTAGGGTGAGGGTTAGCCCTAGCTCACCTGCTCACGGTCGGCCCTCCTCTTCTCCTCTTCTGCCCTCCTGCGCTCCTCCTCTTCTTTGCGTCTCCTCTCCATCTCCTCCACACGTCTCTTCTCCTCCTGCTCTCTCCTCCTCTGCTCTCGCTCTTGTTGTCTCCTCATCTCTCGCTCTCGTCTTTGTTGCTGCAGAACACAGGGATTACTCTGTGGTTAAACTTACAATGATTATTGACATTTGCTTAAGTTTTAACTCAATAATGGTGTTGTCTTGAGTTGCAGGACAAAATTTACGCTGTGTTGTTCTTCGTAAACTTATTGCCACTTTATGTTTCAACATATAATGACAGAAGAGCCTAAATGGTTCCTTGTCTGGCGGCAGTGGCTCAATGGTTCATGTGGGTTGTCTATGAACCGAAAGGTGGGTGATTCAATCCCCGGTTCCACCCGACCAAGTGTCGAGGTGTCCATGAGCAAGACACCTAACCCCAGCTGCTGCCGACGAGCTGGCTGGCGCCTTGCATGGCTGACACCGCCGTCGGTGTATGAATGTGTGTGTGAATGGGTGAATGTGAGGCAAATGTAAAGCGCTTTGGTGGCCATTAGGTCTATGAAGGTGCTATATAAATGCAGTCCATTTTACCATTTGTCCTTTAGCAAACATGAAGCACTGCAATAACAACATGTTTTAAACCTGCCTAAATGTGACATCAATGCAAGGTGCGTTTGAATATGCCGCCTACACAGCGTACGTTGTGGTCACTGTAAACTGATAAAGAAAGAGCAGCTGAAAGGGTTACTGTTATTCTAGGTTGACCAACTAAAGAACAAAATGCCAATTTTGCTTTCAAAATGGCAAATTTCGCCAAACTATTTTGCTATACTATGGAATGTTCTAGTTGGATTAACAGGATCTTATCATTGAAGACTTACTGTATGCCATGTTGTTACATGTGAGTTTGTCATCATGTGACTCATGTTGTTCAAAATGTTTTTTTGCCAAACGGAGATGTTTAACTGACATATCCTTTGCTATTGTACATGCAATGCGTATTATTGTAGGATCCTATTGTTGCAGATGAAATGTATTTTGTGATGGGTGATTTTACCAACTGCTGAACATGTGACTTAAATGATCCAATAAGGCTCATAAATTTAGTCAGGCATTGATCACATGTGACAGAAATGTTGCCATTGTAGTGATGGATGTAGTTGTTCCTTAGAGTGCAGCCTTTTGACACAGTTCGCCAGTAGTCTTTCTAGCCCTACAAATATATAAACTCTTCTTGATGGTGCGGTGACTTGTGTTTGACTGGTTCAGGTGTGGCGTGGAAAGTCACAGAGCATTACTGGCATGTACTCACCTCCTCCAGCCGCCGCCTCTGCTCTTTCTGCTGCTCGATGCGTTTCTGTCGTTCTGCCAGTAGTTGGCGCTTGTATTCCTCCTGCTCACGCATCTGCTGTTCCTGGAGGAGCTGCTGTCGTCTCATTGCCTCCGAGCGCTCCTTATTCTCCTGCTGTAGACGGATGAAGTCCCTACGCAGAGTCGACTCGCCCGGGACATTCACAATAGAGCTGCAGGATTCAGAACACAGCAGAGTTACACACTGGTCCTTAAAAATCAACTATATGACTTTCTCTTCTCACAAAGATCACGATTCAGGCAGACACATATTATTCCTAAATGACAGTCATCTATGTCTATTAAACCACTGACATGTCCAATCAGAGCGAATATTCTGATCCAGAGAGAGCCGTTCTCATGTATTGAGAGTGAGGAGTCATGTGCCGATTTGGGCGGGTTCTGAGCCGGTCGGCCATGATGGTAGGAGACTCTAACGGTTGCCAGAGGCAACGTCTTCAAAACTTCAGACAATACCCAAATAGCCAAACTTTCAAGTACCTGAGTGTCAGCCTGTTGTCTAAGCACTAAGCACCAGGGACCCTGGGGCAGCATCCAGGTCAAAGCTGTAAAACCTCACGAATGTGAGCGGCGGCAAGGACCAGCCCACTGCATCACAAACTTCTTGGAGAGAAACCCCAAATAATAAGGCTTTAGAGGCCGCCATCCGCCTCGTAGAATGAGTACTTGTACGCAAGTGAAACAGCCTCAACTATCCACTTGCTAACCGTCTGTTTAGAAGCAGGAAGACCTTTCTCCAAAACAAACAAATAGCTGGTCAGACTCCACGGAGAAGTCCGATGAACATAAGTGTCCAGTGCTCACACTGGACACAAAAAGTTCAGCTTTTCCTGGTCTGAAGATGTAAAAGGAATGGGACAGAAAGCATCCAGCACAATAGGCCTCAGAAACATGGTCAGCACCTAGGGACGTATCCCTGTTTTGGATATAAGAATGCTTCGACCATCCCCGGTGCAAACTCAAGGCAAGTGGGGGAAACCGAAAAGGGCCTGAAGGTCTCTGACTCTTTTGAGGGACGAAATAGCTAGCAAACAGACGGTATTAAAAATAAGATTTTTTTTCTGAAACTGAATTTAAGGACTCAAATGGAGCCCTAGACAGGCCTTCTAAAACAATTGCAAGGTCCCAAGCCAGCCCCCTAGTGCAAGTTGCAGGCCTCAGCCTCAATGTGCCACGAAGGAAACGTGTGATCAGGGGGTCTCGACCCAACGATGTACCATCCACCAGGGCATGGAAAGCCGCTATGGCAGCCACGTATACCTTGAGCGTGGATGGACATAAACCTGACGTAAAGCGCTCTTGCAGAAACTCTCAAGTACTGTGTTTACTGAACAATTAACTGAATCCCACTGACGCTGGTGACACCAAGAAGTGAGAACTCTCCATTTTAGTGCATAAAGTTTCCTCGAGCTCTGGAGCTTAGAATGGTCTCAACAACCTCGGTTGAGAGACCACTTTCTATGAGTTGTGCCCCCTTAGGGGCCAAAACCAAAGTTTCCAAATCCCCTGCAGGGGGTGCGATATTGTGCCTAAAATCTGTATTATCTCCAGATCTCATGGGAGCAGAGCAACTTGGGGGGGGATTGCGTACAGACGTAGCCTCAGCCATGTCTGCACCATAGCATCCAAGCCCAAGGCGGCTGGTTGAGTGAGGGAGAAACAAAGTGGACAGCGCGCGGGATCTTGATCTTGACCTCTGGTCCTGAGTAGGCTTGCCGCGGTAGTCGGTGTTACCGGTGTTACCGGTGTTCAGTCGCAACACCGGTTTCATGACATGCCCACCGCGGCACCGCGGTGGGAATGTGAAAAAAAAAAAAAAGTTTAAAGCCTTAAAAATATTGAACGCAATTATGCAGTAGTCGTTAAATCCTGCCTATTAACACACACAACCCACAGAAAAGACGCGCGTCGGTATCGAGTTCTCTTTCGGGCTTGAACAAACCATAACACACAAATTATGCCAAAATGTCCATAAGAGCATTATTCCTTTTGCCATTAATTCCTTCTGACGTTAAACGAACGTAGAGATTTGTGAGAAAATGGGACGCGTGTCAGATCGCGTCTCTGTCAGCAACGGCTGTCCGAATTCGCTCACTCGTTTTTACTTGCTCCTTCTCATTCACTCCTTCAAGTGAACAGTATTAGTGGACTAATGAAGGGAATAGGCCTAGTAAATGAGGGTTTAGGGGGCGATTTGGGATTCAACCCATGTTCTCGAGGAGTGAAAAATAGAGGACACCGACAACGTTAACAGACAAGACCGAGCAGGTAATATTTAATATGAAACAGTCTCAACTTTCAAATTTGGTCAGTCAAAGAAAATCAAACAATAAATAGGTTAATCTACTAGGTTAATCTACGTTAATCTACTCCTGACTGCTTTCTGACTGATCCTGTCAGATCATGTCTGTCAATCAAACTCCAAGCGAAGGATATTGACGCTAATTTAAAAGTGAAAGTTAGTTTCGTTTTCAAACTAGCGCATATTCAGGGCACAATAACAAAACAGTTCTTTCCCGCACTACCGCACCGTTATGTATGCCCGTGAAAACGTGCGCATTTTACGTTTGCCTTTAAATTAGCGATTTAAAAGCCCCCGCCGGTGAGACACCGGTATTACCGGTGTTGTCACACGTCGATTAACAGGTGAGAAAATATCCTCACCGCCACAACACTAGTCCTGAGCCGCCACTGCAAAGATCTCACGTACAGCAGGTCAAAGGGTATCACATTGGACGCTGCTGGCCTGAGGCCTAACAGTCTCTCGGACTGTTTCACAGTGCGTGACTGGTCTAGCCTTAGCTCCTTTGCAGCAGTAAGTATAACAGCTACACGAGCGGGGGCGACAGAACGGCTCGCATCGTGACTGAATCCCAGACCACTCCAAGAAAAGTGGCCCTCTGTACTGGAGAAATCACACTCTTCTTAGCATTGTGCCTCAACCCCAACCTTCGCATATAAGCGAGGACGACATTCTCGATGCCGAACCGCTAACTGTTCTGATTCTGCTAGAATCAGCCAGTCGACTATGCAATTCAGATTGCATATGCACTGCAGCCTGGACAGGGCCAGAGCTGCATCTATGCACTTTGTGAATGTGAGGGGTGATAGAGCTAGAACGAAAAGAAGTGCCTGATAATGGTGTACGTTGCCCCCTGAAAGAAAACCTCAGAAACCTCCTGTGCTGAGGGAGGATGGAGATATGCAAGTATGCGTCTTTCTGATCTATCATGACAAACCAGTCCTTGGATATGGTTTGAGTCACGATCTGTTTGAGTGTCAGCAACATGGACTTGCGTTCCAGCACCGAACACTCCAACAGAAGAAGATTTAGAAAATGACCTAGTTCTCCATCCTTTTTTAGAAATATTAGATAACGGCTATAAAGATCCAACGCAATGTCGGGTGCGTACACCTGCTCTATAGCTTTATTTGCTTTACCTCCTGCACCATTACCAGAGCCAGCTCGGGATGCACTAACGTGATCAACACCCCGTTGTAGCCTGGAGGACGAGAACCAAACTGGAATCTGCCTCTTGCTACTAACTGCAGGACCCATGGAGATATATTCGGCAGTAGCTTCCACGCTGCCAGAAATTCTACCAAGGGAACCAGCCCCTCGAGGCTGGCCTCTGATGTAGACAGCCTGTTCAGCGACCTGAAGCACACAGGCAGGAACTACCCAAACTGACTGTTTTCGAACCCGCCTCAGAGGACGTGAGTCTGACGCAATGTCGAGTTGACACTGCGCCAAAGGCTCGCTGGAGACCGCTGCGCCCCGAAGCACCAAGGGTGACGCGGTTGGCAGAACAGTCCCGTGAGGACACCGAGATGGAACGGGCACGTATAATGAGGTGTACACTGTTCCACCCCGGTTAGGGTTGCCCTCACTGGTTTCTTTTGAGCCGAAGCCTTCCCAGCGTGAAGAACGGCCCTCGGAACCGGCTTCTGCTTCGAAGGCTTTGGCTGCTGTGGTGCATATGAGAAACAGACGGCTGGAGCTGCTCACGCCCAGCAGCCCCTGGGGTTTGGACATAGCGAGGGAGAGATATTTTAACTGCCTCTGAATGTAATTTGGACTCCAGGAGACTCTCGACGACCAAAATAACCGCGTCGCCGAAGAGACCAGAAAGATTGATGGGAGCATCTTTGTCCTTGATCTCCGTCAAATTGAGTCAGAGGTGTCTCTCTGTGGTCACAAGGGCTGGCACAGACCGTCCGAATGCTCTGGCAGTCTCCTTAACAGCCCTGAGAGATAAATCTGTGAGCCGATGAAGTTCTCGAACTCCATCGGGTCTCACTTCCTCACTTCTGTCCAAATCCTCCAGCAGGTCAGCCTGATATGCTTGTAGTACTTCCATAGTGTGCAAGCAGGCTCCAGCTTGACCCACTGCCGTATATGCTTTTCCCACTAGATTATAAATAGATTTCTTTAACGGATTTCTTTTTTTCCCATGATCTAGACAGATCGCTGTGCAGATCAGGAAAAATGGATGGCTCCGTGATGGGGGTGAAACATTAGAGGAAGGAAGCGCTCGTTTAATCTATTTTTAGGACGAGAGCCCCTTTTCTCTGCTGGCCATTCAATATTTAATTCATCTACAGCCTTAGTAATCACCTCCACCAGCAGATGTGGGTCCTGCACCCTGAGAACCGCAAAACCTGATTACTTCCCTCGAAAACTGACAGGCGGGAGCAGAGCATGCGAAGCGAAAATCAGCTCTAAGCATTAAGCATTATCATATCGCATTTTACATTATTTAATAATGTGAGTTATGGCATATCGCACTTTTCTTCAATATCGTGCAGCCCTAGTATAGATACAAAACAGCTTCGCAAATCAAGCGATGCGTCAGTTCTGGCAGGTCACGTTATCAGTGACTCTCAGCTGATCCCACATCTA